TCTTTAAAACAAAAAACGGGGATTCTAACTCCCGGACCCCTCCCCCCCCCCTCTGGATTGCCCCCAAAAAGGGAGTTCCTAAATATTCAATCTGTATTTTTGTATGTTGAGCGTGTCCGGTCGTCGGGTTTCTTAATCCAGACACACCTATCCCTCAGTATGTCCGAATATGAATGTTTGTTTATTCTCGAGAAGAAAGGGGGGGGGGGGGGGGGTGCTTCTTTTTTTTTCTTTTTTTATAAAACCGTTACATAAAAAATATATTTATGATTACCTTCATTAAACTGATACAGGTAAGTACTTTTGGTTATAATATTGCCTTTATCTTTAGTCTATTCTACCAAATCCAACGCTTGACTCAAAAAGTCGTCCGTCTTATACCCGTCCATATTGACAACTGCATACAAGGAGCATGATGTATTTTTTATTGTAATAGACGTGTTAGGAAAGGGGTTTAAATACTGCGCTGATGTTAAATACCAATACCGATACAAGATTTAAGTGTGGACTTTCTCAAAATGCAATTTCACTGAAAAGTATCCCGGCGTAGTATAATAGTTTACCTTAGTGGTGACACCGTGTGTTTGATACAACATAACGTCGACTCCAAATTTTAAGACGTGCATAGGCCTTACGTAGATCTTCATACATTCATACATTAATTTGTATTTGTTTGATTTAAAAGTGCAAAACAAAACTGAACAAAAATATATGTAAGAGTCAAGAATGGGAATGACGGATTTTACGGCCACAAGTCCAAATATATATATTAAGCGATATGATTAGAATATGTCCTATTTCCGTTGCAAAATATAGTTAGCATGCATTTTGTGTCCAGGGATACAGGGACGCGTATATATGTGTGGCTTAAACAAATCAGTACTAATCTGAACTCATCGTTATATCTATATATAAAAAAGAAAATAAAAAGTGGACACAAGTGGATACAGTGCTATTTCTATAAATATAAAACTTTAAGAAGCAGGGGCTACAGTAGAAGGTTGTCTTGCTGCGCATCGTTTTAATGTTCAAGAAAACCACTTTCCATGAGCTATATGTGATTCGTATTGTCTACTACTATCTGGGTATAAATGCAATGAATGGACAGAGGGACGAAAGAACGGACGGATGGACCAATTCACCCATCACTATATACCGTCCAATTTAGAAAGCGGAGTATATAGTGAATCTAAGGCAAAACAAAATGAAGCAAATCGAAAAAAAAAAAAAATGCCCGACATATAATTTAGCAGACTTTGTTTTGAAGGAGGTGAAAATGAATATTCCATTTTCAAAATAACCTCCCGACCCAAAGATACTAACATTAACTTCTCCATATGAAAGTTTAACGCCACTTTCAACAATATCCCAATTTAATCGTGGTGTTCTGTTTTGTTGGTGGAGGAAGCCGTGGTAACAAGAAAAAAAAAAAAACTTCCGACCCTTCACCGAAACGTAAATTTAACATGCTTGATAATGTCCAAACGTTGTAATTTTGTAATACTTAATTCGATAACCTCTCTTTTCCAAAAAACTAACTGATAAAAGTTGATAGAAGGAAAATGTCAGGGCAAAATATTTTATGTGAATAAGAATTAATTCATTTAACATTATATAAAATTGTCAGTGACCTTTCTAGATAAAATAAAAATATAAAGATAATCAAATTCAAAACGCTTTTGTTTCAGTCTTTTTTTTAATTGTCAAGTACACAAATTTCTTGTTTGCTTTATTTTTAGAATTTTACGCTACTGTGTAACACATTTCTCTATTCTAGAAAATGATATAAAATAAGGAGATGCGGTATGATTGCCAAAATAGACAACTATCTACCATGCAGAGACCAAATGACGTAAATGTTTGAAACTTAATTACACCTTATATAAGAATGCCGGATTTTGATTGGTTGTTAGCCAGTGTATTTTTCGCATATTCTAACATTTTTTCCTCATTTCAAACGAATTTGCCTGTTTTTCACCACTGCCGGTGAATTTGCCTCAAATTCCCCTCTCTGCCGTGGTATTTGCCATTTTGGATATTTCTTTTTTACCCTCGCGAGCCAGTTCACGCCAAAATTATTCGGAAACTTTCTCACTTTATCCCGACAACATGGTTAAGCACTATTGATTGAGTTAAACCGGAAACTGTCAGAAATATACATATAAAGAGGGAAAAAAGGTCTATACAAATGAACGATTTAATGATGGAATAACAATGACGTTTACACATATAGATACCATGACGTTACAAAAACACTAACGTGTATAAGTACATGTATAATTCCCGCGGTACTACGATTTCCCTTCACATGTACAGACAGTTTCAATCAAAATCTATTCGGTGTAATTAAACAGATATATCATGTTATGGAGGGATATTTGCGAAAAATACGTCTTGGGACCAAATTTCCCTCGCCTAGCGGCTTGGGAAATTTCACCGTCCCTTGACTGGTATTTTTCGCAAATACCCCTCCATAAAATGATATATATGTTCAATAGATCACCGTATGACAGATCCCCAACACTGAGCAAAACCATTCCCGCATATAAAAGCTAAGAAAGGCCCCGACATGACAATTATTTTTTAAATAAATTTCAAATAAACGAACGTTTTGAACAAAGATTGATGTACGTAGAGTAAAAAATCGGATTCGAATGTGATTTGATTCCTGTGTTTTTTGCTATTTCATTTATTTTGATACTTTGTAGATTTTCCTTGTAGTCGTTCAACAAAATAGTAAGAAATGGGGGAAAAACGATCGTATACTTAATCGATCCCTACTATGACACAATGCAAGAATAATGTTCGTGTTGTTTTGCTTGATCCTCGTCCGTGTATTGCGGAATAAATTTACTATTTCATTGTTTAAAAATCATCTCAGCATTATCAAACAAACCCATACAGGTAACTATAATGAATGATTATCTGTGCTTTTTGAGATAGTCCCCACTATAGCCTGTAGTGGTATTGGTATTTAACATCAGCGTCAAAATCGTATTGACTTTCCTAACACGTCTAATAAGAATGCACGAAACGGTCAACCTTGAACTGCTGATCCATATTAGCACCAGGATTTAACGGGAATATGCAAAACAGCAACTTTGACATTTGAAAAATCTACTGACTACAAGTGCAGACAAACTATACGGCAGGTTGTTTCCGGCCTGTTTTTTGTTACCTTTGTTTTGTATCTGACTTGTACGACGTTTCAAGAAGGAAGAAGTTCATTTTGCATTTAGAAGAGGTAGCAAAACTAAAGATATTAGAAACTTAAACGGCCATATACCAGTTAATGTAAGTTACAGTTTAAACTCACTTCCATTCATGAAGCCGAGAGTTTTTTCTCAAAAAATTCAAGAATCTAATAACTTTATAAAAAGAACCATTTCAAATTAAAGGTGAATGTTATACACATTTGAGACTTTTTGAAATGCAACTTCGCAAGTAAGTAATGTATAAAAAAGATTTCAGAGGTAAGCAAGCTACCATTTGCTTTTATTTGGGAGGGGGGGTTAAAATAAATTTAAAATAAACAGGCTTCATCCTTTTTTTTTGTTGAAAAAATGCAGGATGTGCCATGTCCATGTCTTGTTATCATATATATATATATAGGCATATGTTTTGGATTAAAAAAAAAAATGTTCATGCTTATAGGTTTTTATATGTCTCTGATAGTGTTGATCAGGATTAAACACGTGTCACTATATGATCCAATCAGAGCTTACCGTCCAAAATTGATGACATAAGTTGAATGATTTTCTTCACGATTTGCTGCATATTTGAACATGTATTACACGGACACTTTTTATTTATAGGATCAGTCGTGCATTGGTGAGTTGTTAGGGATTTTATCTTTTGATTAGATTTGATTTTTATATATATATTTCCTGTATTTTTATTGAAATATAAACGTTGGTAACAGCATTTCTTTACTTTCAGCATTGTCCAGAATACTATTCATGTCCATATATTGAAAAAAAATACATTTACGGACCGACCATTTAGCTTCAAAAGGGTGTGTGTTCTTTTCCGAGTAAGAAAACTATTAAGTTTTTCAACGCTATCGCCCAAATATTTTTTTTTCGAAATCAGCACTATTATATAAGGTATTCGGAAAACCAGGAGTCAGAACATTATTTTCAGTGTCACCTGCTTGACCATTATATATTTTTTCTCATAAAATTGGGGATCAAAATGTTTTTTTTTTTTTTAGGAAAAAGCCATAACCGGCCTTTTAAAGTTAAATGGTCAACCCCTTAGTGTACTAATATGAATAGTTACTGGAATTGTTTGAAAAAAAATATAGTTATTGATGCTAACGTAAATATTTTTAATTAAAAAGACAGGAAATATGTCGGTGAAACAAAAAGTTCAAATCTAATTGAAATTTAAAGTGCCCATGAACTCACTGATCATGCACGAGTGATTCTATTCATAAAAAGTGTCCGTGTAACAACTAAAAAGTGTCCGTGTAACATCTAAAAAGTGTCCGTGTAACACCCGTTAATGTACTGTTTTTCTATAGCTCTGCTTGGGGCAAAGTCGTACAACATGTGAAAAAAAATGTTTTTCTTATAAATCATGGTTTGAATTTGTCAATAAATATGCTATCCGTTATTTTTCATTTAATAATCATTGTTAACAAATATAGGGTATAGCATTGGGTGTAAGTTAGTTATACACCTCAGGATACGGTGTGTCTGGATAAGAAACCCCTCCGGCCGACGGGGTTTCTTATCCAGAAACACCTATCCCTCGGTGTATAACTATTACTTCAGGAATTGAGTATGATAATATAACTTTGAATCTTGAAATCTTGAGGAATTGAAAAGCGTGTTCTTTTTCAATCGCTATATAATAATAGTAGATCTACAAACAGCTTACCTAAAGAGTGATAAATTAATGTTATAATGAACCTGAAAAAGACATTTCACATTATTAGACGGACCCTGCACATTGCGAGTTAAATAAAACAATTTGAAGCTGTCGACACTAACAGGATGACTTTCCACAGAGTAAAGGTTGAGGATTATTACAAAGTGTTGTCTATAAGATCACCAAAGGATGTTTATGAGGGATACGATTACTTACCAGATCGCTTCCATAAACTGATTAGTAGTTCCTCAACTGAAGGGTATGCAGCCTCTATTGACAACAAATTTGTAAGTTCCGTAAATGTAAAAAAAGCAGACACAAAAACTAAAACAACGCTTTCATTGTGGGTTTGACGTGCATGATATGATTAAAAATGAGAATGGAAATGGGGAATGTGTCAAAGAGACAACAACCCGACCATAGAGCAGACAACAGCCGAAGGCCACCAATGGGTCTTCAATGCAGCGAGAAACTCCCGCACCCGGAGGCGTCCTTCAGCTGGCCTCTAAACAAATATTTATACTAGTTCAGTGATAATGGACGTCATACTAGACTCCAAATTATACACAGGAAACTAAAATTAAAAATGATACAAGACTAACAAAGGCCAGAGGCTCCTGACTTGGGACAGGCGCAAAAATGCGGCGGGGTTAAACATGTTTTTTGAGATCTCAACCCTCCCCCTATACCTCTAGCCAATGTAGAAAAAACAAACGCACAACAGTACGCACAGTAAAACTCAGTATAAGAGAAGTCCGAGTCCGATGCCAGAATAGGAAAAAAAAGATAAATGAACAAAATGACAATAATACATTAATAACAACAGACTACTAGCAGTTACTGACATGCCAGCTCCAGACCTCAATTAAACTGATTGAAAGATTATGTCTTCATCATATGAAAATCAAGTACAATCCCTCCTGTTAGGATTGCATTGTACCTTATCCACTTGGTTTTTTTCGAAATGCAAAACCTTGTAAAATACTATTTTTTAATGGCACAAACTGACAAAAGAACAAGCTCTTATTATACTGTTTTAAATTGCATTGCATGGTTATGTTGTGCTTTATTTTTCTTGTCTCTGGGTAATATACAGCAACTGCTGCTTAACGCTTAGAAGAGTTGTTCAATTATAACTCTTGATACATATTACAAACTTCATCAATTGGGATTACAGATCCCATGTCCAAGTTTTGCTTACAAGGATCTGAAAACGCCCCGTTCTGCTTTCTGTTTTTAAAACCTTTCGGGATCCTCTAGTTTTGTCGGATTAATATACACCTTCAAAAATTTGTAGGCTGAAATTTCATTGACTGATATAATAACTGACAAAACAGAAAGTAAAACAGAGTGTTTTAAGATCATTGTAAGCAAAAGACTGAAATTTCATAAATGTTTAATATGTAACTATTATATTGTGCTTTGTTTTTCTTGTCCCTGGATAACATACAGCACATACTGCTCATAAACCCTATTATTAAGTACTTGTTTTAGATATTTAAAATTTTATTGTTTAAAAAATCTCCGTGGACAACTCTCGTTTTAAATGATAAAGATTTAACTTGAAAATACTTTGCTGAATTTGAAGTAATTTCATTGTAAAGTTTATCTGATTTGGCAAGATTTAGAAGTAATTTAAAAGATCTATCCACTGACTCCTATGTATACATGTATGAATTAACATGACAGGTTATCAAATATGTGTTTAAAGTACAATGGATAAGCGCTAAATCGTTAAACAGATATTTTCTTAACGTACTCACACTTATCCATTGTGTCTCATACTTAAACTATTGTCGTGACGACTTTCCCAATTACAGTTCCTTTCTTAATAAGACCCTATTATGTGTGAGCATAGGCGGATCCAGGGGGGGGGGGGGGGGGCCTGGGGGGCCCGGGCCCCCCCCCTTTCGTGGGAAAAATTTGGTTGATTATATAGGGAATCACTGAAGCATGACCGGAGCGGGCCCCCCCTTAGATCAGTCAGCCCCCCCCCCCCCTCTATGAAAAGTTCTGGATCCGCCACTGGTGAGCTTAAATAATCGCTTGATTATCTACACAACTATTCAATTTCAATTAGATCTATATAGTCAAGTTGGTTATTTTAATAGTAGGTGAAAATTGATACTAAGTCGTATGAACATGCAGTATGAGTATGATGAATATGATTCTGAAATTTGTCCATTATCGACAAAATAAAGCATAATCTAACTAATTTCCTAGTAAAACATGATGTTACTGTAAATAATTCAGATACACTTCTAGATTTACCCTTTTTATATTTTACGAATATTTCAAAAAAGAGGTGAAAGATACCAAAGGGACATTCAAAATCATAAGTCGAAAATAAGCTTACAACACCATGGCTAAAAAAGAAAAAGACAAACAGACAAACACCAGTACATAAAAAACAAAACACAAGATAGAAACTAGACAGAGCAACATGAACCCCATCAAAAACTGGGGGTGATCTCAGGTGCTCCGGAAGGGTAATCAGATCCTGCTCCACATGTGGCACCCGTCGTATTGCTCATGTAAGTACAAACCCGGTGAGAAGTCTAATTCAGTAGGTCACATTCGGGGGAAAAAGGGGGGAGGGGTGCGGGATTGTAGATACGACAATGAGAACATATCCGTCATCTGTGAAACAGATATTCCATAACAGTCAACCAACTCGTGATGGCGTCCGTAAAATTTACAAAGGAATGATTTCAACTTCACCACTTGGAACTCTTTGTTAAATAGTTTCCTTGAGAGCAGCAATTCTCTATTAAGGAAATCATGACAGGAAATACAAGCCCTGGAACTAAAATATGCGGTGAAACACAAATTTGACATAAATATCAAAATATCAATGTTCCAATTCTCTTATGAATTACACGAAATGGTCAATACTAGTCTAATCCAAGAAAAACAAATAACGATATTTTCTTATTGCTAAACTAATATTAACACACAATTAAAAGACGAAAAAGTGAAAGCTGAAACAGAGATTCGAACTATGCCTACACGTGTTACTTTCAACGATTACTCCAACTCATCCTAACCATGCGTCTACCAACTTACACTGTACAAAACGTTGTTTTTAAATATATAATGGCGCAGGTCCTATGTACAAATTTCATCGCACATATTGTTTTATGGAAAATCGTCAGATGTGTTCATGAACAGTGACACAGAGAGAATTCGAACCCCAGTCACGGCAAATAACTGCAAAAGTCATGGGTATATTTTAAAAATAATTCCAGAAATGAACAGAAATAAGTACATTGATCAATTCTAACTTAATGAAACGAATTACACAAAGGGAACAATTGAATTTTATAATGTGATGAATTCATTTCAGTGACGGATTAAAGAAGCGTTGATTCTAGAAAAAATAACCACGGTAAACGAATGGGCTAAAGTCATATGCAGCAGTGGTTCATTGGGGCGTTTTTTTTATGTTTGTTGCGAAGCAGCCAATCGGCTAACCTCGGGTGAGTCCGCTTCTCTCCAGATGGAGGTACGGAATCGGCTTAGTTGTGACGAATGACAAAACAGCCGACGAGTCGCAGATCTATGTGTTTTGTTTTTGTGAAGAGTTATTTGAGTTTTATACTTTTAAAAATGTATTATCATTTTAGGTTGCTTTCCAAATAGTGAATCTTTTAGATGATGGTCGCACGGTCTTAAAGAAAGCTGGACGCGTGGCTAAGGAATATGAAGGAACAGGAATATATAACGCGCTTGATTCATTTACACAACAACAGTATAATTTATTGGGTAGACAAAGAACCTTCTCTTTTGACGCACACAATCAAATTTTGATGAAACGACTATATGCCAGAAAAATGGAAACAGTTATGTCAAGAGTAAGAAACTATAGTGATTTGTTGTCTCCGTACGCCACCCCGACCGAGGGGGGATGATTTTGAAAATGAATATGTCCTGGTAAAAGCTAAAAACGAAAAAGAATAATGAATCCGAAAAGAAATTCCTCCTGCTCCCAAATATATATTATATCTGTTGGTTTTGATAAAAATGTCAATTGTATCTAACAAGTATACTGCTAGATTTGAAACATTGAACTTACCTTAGATTCCACAATTTACCGTTAGCAGAATTTTAGAGTGTTATAGAAATAGATAAGATAAGATAAGATATTTAATATTTTCCAAATTAGGTCCCAAGGGGGGCATACACGTATAACAAATATAATCTTTACAACATACAGTATTTTAAATAGAAATAGAAATTGAAATAGAAATTCTTGTTTGATCAATTATGGACCCTTGCAGGTTTTAAATTTCATACAATGATTACAATGATTTCTTTTATGACAATGAAATAAGAAAATACAACATAATAGAACAATGAATAGTTAAAGTTAATAGGGGAGACAATCTATAAATTTGAAAGGATTATTTCCCTTTGAAGAGTATTTAATAAACTTTCAATATATCATGTTCAGAGTTGCCAAAAAAAGAAGCCTCAACTGATTAAATATAAGGGTAATTTTCTCCCATGTACATGCAGCAACCAATTACAAAATATTTATGTATATAACATTTAAATTGCAAGAACTGGATTAGCACCTTTACAATTTTGATTGCAGTTTAACACATACATTAGGCATTAACGTACACGTATGTATACATGTATAATGCATACACATAGATAAAGTAATGCGTATTTTTTAAAAAGTTTAATATATATAAATAAACTAAAAGAAACTTGGCCATTTACAGAAATTTTGGATCTCAATTCAAAACCCTGTATAAGAAAATGACTTTACTTTTCAAGTACATTTTTGTATATCTTTATCTTCAGTGGCCATTAACCATAAACATATAAACATTTTGATTTGCAGTCTTAGTTATTAAAAGTTTGACAGTGCTCATCAGTTTGTGTATACAATAATTCACGAAAGTTATTTTATAATGGACAGTTTATTAAAAAATGAAACTCATCTTCTATATCATTATGAGAACAAAATTTACAAGTCCTCTATGACCTTTCTATATGCGCTCTTTTTCCACTCGGAATTGGTAGGCATTTATGCCAAATTTACATAATATTTGTCTGAAGTCAAAAGTTTTAATATCAAGATATTTTTCCATTTGAAATATACTTTTATGAGAAAAATATGTATCCACCTTTCCAGTAACCTTATTCTTTTCATTGTACCATGCTTTCAAAAACAATGTTATTTTAATCTATTAATTGAATAATCAATACAGTATGTTTCTTTCAATTCAAGCTTCTCAAGAGTAAATTTAACAGAGAAATACCATGCCATAGTGTTATTTTCATGCATAGTCTTGTTACATATAATGGCTTCTTTCAATAAATTTGAGTTACAGTGATGTAATCTATGCAAATAACTTATCATACATATAACAATAATAACAAAATATATAGTAAATCTTCCTAATTCTGATTGTATGAAGCAACATTTGTACTTTTACTATTTACGCCTAAAATATGCTTACGGAACTTTAAGTTCATTTTATCAGCAACATTGTTCTGGTATATTTTTTCAAGTATATTGATAGCATCTGTTTTACAAGATGCAGAGTCAGTTTTGAACATCCCCACATCTCATACAAAATAATAGGTTTAATGGTTTGGTCAAACAGTTGCAAATTTGTTTTAATACTAGCAGCTGAGCCAGATAATTACATTGATATATCTTAGGATCCTCTAATGAGAATGAAAGACAAACAATACCTTATTGTTAACTAATATGCCGCTCAGGGACAATCGCCACAGGTCAACTTTACCTGAATGGTAACTTCAGCTTTAATACATTTACATAATTTAAAAACGGAAATTTATTCAAAATGTATCATTAAGGATGTTCGCTCCTCTTGTTTTTGATTTTTTGCAAGATATTCGGAATCCTCTGGTTTTATCTATGTAGTTCCATTAAAAATTTTGCCCGCTAACCCCTATTTTTCTTTTCATAATTTTATTACATATAGTTAAAAAAGTCATATTTGAAAATCTTATGAAATTCTTGTTATTTTTTTATAGTTTTTGAAAGGAAAAGGGTGCCAATGTTAAATGTATGAAAAGTCTAGAGAGAATCATTTCCCGCCAAATTTTCAATGGCTCATATCTCGAAAACAAGCACACGGACCCTTCATTTTTATCTGCTTTTTTAGTTCCTTTATTTATATACTATCAATTTATAACAGACTTTTAAAAAGCTTATTATTTTGAAACAGAGTAGCGAACATCCTTAAAATCATGCCGATAAAAAATCTCTTGACTGGGAGGTACAGTACCCATTACTTATTTACTGACGCTCACCCAGCAGCACTACTGTCATGTTATATCCTTATGGTTTTTGTGCTATAATATACATCATACATTTTTGTTATCAATCGGCAATCCTCGGGTGAATCCGCTGCTCTCCTTCTATCCGGTTAGATGAAGGTACGGAATCGGCCGAGTTGTGACGAATGGTTATTGTATGTGCCCATAATGCCAAACTCCAATGTTACAGTGATGAATATGAAACAGGATATGGCAGCCTTCCATGGCATCTATCACTTCCCTTTCTGGTTTTCTTTTTGTGATATTTTACAATTTTTCTCTCGCATAGATGTGTTTAAATATTTTGTTTGAATACCACAGCATTACCAGTAAAAACTTATTCTTTAACAAGGTGTGACGGAGGACCTCGTCAATTCATTATAAGAAGAGCACGGCATCAACATCAATACCTAAAACGTTCAGTCAATTGTTTCTTAGTTTGAAGTGGTACAACAGATAATCATATTTGATTCAAGAAAGGTCTATTTATCACAAGTATTTTCTTGCGATGATCGATTAATTCATACAATAAAAACGATTTTCAATAAAGAAATACTCTGATGAATGGGACAGCTGTTGCACTTTTATATAGGTAATAACTATTGACCAAATATATATGACGTGACATTGTTAATTCATCACTGGAAAAAGAAATATGAACATCGTTGGTTTACTGGGATTTTTTCTGCTTTTTGAATCATTACTTTGTAGTTCTGACAACAAAATATTCAAAGGCATCGTGACTGTAAGTACAATGTACCGACTGATACCTGTTGTATTGAAAATTTACATTCTGCCGAGCGTGGTTTAAATGGCTATGTCATACAAACAATTCTCGTTTGAATTGTTTCATATTTTTCATGTTTTGGGCCTTTTGTAGCCGACTATATGGTATGGGTTTTTTCTCATTGTTGAAGGTCGTACAGTTGCCTATAATTGCGTACGTCCAGTTTATTTGAACCGTGATTAATAGTTCCCTTATTGACACTCATACCAGATCTCCTTATTTTTATATTAATTGTTTTTTTCTTCAGTGCACATTACACTGTTTCATTCGTTTAACCTAAGAAATATGCTAACGACAAAAACATACTATGTTACATTTTCATACTTCGATGTTATTTTGTTTTTAATCAATTTTTTTATAAGAGCGGTATAAGGCCCGTGTTTTATTGTTATATCCGTACATACCTGTTTACCAACTTACTTACAATATCAAACAGGGATTATATGAAACTGCTAGAATAAAATTATCAAACTTGCTTCAGGTAATCTTTGTCAAAGAGAGATGTAACTTAAATTTTAGTCCAATCATATAATTAAGATATTTGTTATAAAAAAAAACAAAAAAAAATCATATGCTTTGATGTATGCAAGTATTGAAAAACCCTATATTCTGGTCAATTGAAACCACTTGGACAATTCTAAATGTTTCACTTCAATTTTTCACCCTAAAACAATAACAACAAACTCTGACATAAAGTTTCAAGTGTCAAATGTAAAACATTAGACATCAATTTACGACATCTCACTAAAATTCATTTGGTAAATTTTCTACGATTGCTGTCATAATATGCATTTGTCTAATAATTTTATGAGATGAGCATTATACTTTCATATATTCCCTGTTTGATCTATGTACAATTCTTTATTTCCACATTAGAATTTGAGAACAAAACTTGTTAAAAGATGTACAACACTCTTCCAGTCGCTATTCTATTGTCGTCTTCCTTTGACTCATTCTCAATTTCCACGAAAAATCAGTTGAGATGCGAATAAATCACATAATCACTGTTTATTCCTTTTTCTCATATTTGCCCTTTTATTTAAAAAAGTCCTGAAAACACAACAAAATTATTATATTTACCTGTGTACGTTATTTTAATAAACGCCGTTTTGAATAAGGTTATAGTTGTCTTTCTGATATTGTTTTACATCTCACCCCCCCTTTTTTATATTAATATTGTACTTACATTGTGTCATAGATCAAATTTATTCGTTCAGTGTATGTTTACTTGTTTTTGTTAATACGTCTTTTGATACGGTTGAACCATTTCGATTGATATTTTATAGTGTGTCTTTCTATGTTGATGCTACATTCAGGTTAGGGTAAAGGTTGGCGCCTATTAAAACGTTTAAACCCGCTGCATTTGTTGGCACCTGTCCTAAGTTAGGAACCTATTTTTCAGTGGTTGTCGTTTGTTGATGTGGTTCATAAGTGTTTCTCGTTTTTTTTTTTATATAGATTAGACCGTTGGTTTTCCTGTTTGAACGGTTTTAAACTAGTCATTATTGGGGCTCTTTATAGCTTGCTGTTCGGTATGAGCCAAGGCTCCGTTATGAAAGTCGTACTTTGGCCTATAATGGTTTACTTTTTACAAATTGTGACATGGATGGAGAGTTGTCTCATTGGCACTCATACCACATCTTCTTATATCTATTGATAAAAGTAACTGGATAATACAACAATTGTTTGTATCAGATTCACCTCTAAGTTACAATGGTATTGTAAAATGTTAATTTGAATATCGGTACTACTTAACAACTTTCTATCAGTTGTTGATTGTTGTTTGCATTACATCCAGTTGCAAATTTTACAAGAATGTTCAGGACGAGATAATATTAAATGATACATGCAATAACTACTAGTATATAATACAAAGTGGATCGACCAGAATAAACGGCGGATACTACGAGAAGAAAGAAAATGTTCTAATTAACCATCGAGGTGACCTCCGAAGACTGCCGACGGCCATACAACCCGATATAAACATAAACATAAATATAGATATAAATAGATAAGGAAGCCGTGCAATTGGATTTTTCAAGGTCTGTTTGATTTCATATTACAGGTTAAAAATATATGTGAATCATCGGTTTTACCTATAAGTATGAGTTTTTGTGGATCGAATCAATCAATCAAATGGGTTACCCATCTCTAGCTAAGGGGTTAAATTGAAAGTCACATGAATACGGATTCAATGAGGTCGAATTATTAACTTGCAAGTGAATAATACATTAAAGATGTTTCTTAGCTTATTTTGACAAAATTAAACTAAACTGGCTTCTAAAAGCGAATTATTATTTCACTATTTCACTTTCATAAACGATTGAAAACAGGCATTAACAGGCGCAGTAGTTTGTATTTTGTAATACGTTTTAGTTTTAAACGGGCGCATTTGTTCGTTTCTGGGGAATTAGAGAAAAGTAAGCATTGTTTTATTTGCATGATAGAGAAAAATGTACATTTGAGTATTGTGAAATGTTTTAAGTGTATTGTCATTTACAATCCAATATTTCGAGGACGAAATATATTCTGGGGGAGGGGCAGTGTTGTAAATGTTGCAAATGTTCACTGATGATTACCAAGTAATGAAATATTGTTACTTTTGTATAAGTTATCAGAAGTTATATTCTTAGGGTATATTTTAATGAGCAATTAACGTACGTTTTACTTTAAGTTGTTAGCTGTATCGTTAACGCCAAATATGGCGCAACTTTGTCATGTATTGTTCAAAACGTTACTGTTGGGTCAATATTCTAAGCGAGAACCCGAAAGTGTACACTTATGAGTTCTTAACTGGAAGAATTGGTATGTCTAGATTTGTTTAGTCACCATAGTGTATTATTATAAGCGTTTTGAGTCGAAGACTCCTGTATTTTCTGTCAGCATTTGACGTTATGTTTTTCTTCCTGATTAGAATGTTTACTTCCGGTAATTTAAAATAAATACCAGTGCAATGTCAAGTTCGTCAGTCTTTGCTGTGTTTACATTTGGCTAACAGCAAGGACCCCGGGGTTCCTAGAGGCAAGAAGCAGCTTTTAATTGTATGCCTTGCCGTATATTTTATAAGTTAGCGTCGTAGTAAAGAGGTGAGAAGCAGCGCAGATAGCTGTAAGCCTCGCATTTATTTACATTGTAGAATTTAAGATATTCCCGTTTGGTCCGTACAAAAATACAAGAATGTTATTTTAGTAGCTCCGCCCCGTATGAATTTATATTGTTGTTAATAAAACATTGTACATGTATGTAAATGTATCATCGATTCCAGAAGTTTAATAAACGTATCATTTTCTTCTATGAATTATTTATTCACGCTACGAATGCCGAGATAGAGCGGACACCAGAATTGACGGCCGTATTTATTTATCCTTCGTATGGTTACAAGTTTTATGAGTTTGTTCGTATTTCATTGCTTTAAAACTTGACAAAACATAGTAAGAAGCAGAAATTACGATACAAGGGTTCCTTAATTTGAGTGAGATTTTTAAGCGCTCTAAAAACTGATTAACGGATTTAACGTTTCACTTCTAACTGGAAGGATCGAACATTGAATACAGCTGGGAAAACGGGGATTGGTGTTCCCCTTGTTTGACCCTTTGATCTTCAGGACAAACCAGTAGTATTATAGTTGTCTAATTAATAATCAAACCAAGTTTCTTTTATATTTCTGTAATGACAAATTATGATGTTACAGGTATCTCCATCTAATGGACACATGATGAGACAAGTAACGATGTAGCCAAAAGTGCTGAAAAATGTCCATATAAGGTTTTAATCAATATAGAAATGTCAGTAACACATTTTAAATCGCCCTAGTCTGGGCAGACTGTGACCGAATAAGCACATCACCAAAGAGCTGTCCTTAACATCAAACTCGTTAAAGATTTAAACACAGACAAAGATAATAAAATTGTAAGTTCAGAAAAAGCAGGAAAAGCACTTATATCAGTAACATTAACTTTAGAGTTGACAACCACATATTGGCCTCAGTTGAGCAGACACAAATTTGTACCAATTTTCAAAGAACTTAAAGAACGTATAGAAAATAAGGATGCACATCATACTAATTAATATGAATTCTAACTAATTTAATTTTTAATTTCAGTTGAGTTACAAATGATCGTTTAAGAAGAAGTACAAACACGTTCTGGATTGGTTCAACAAGGAAGGACTTTACTAGTATCCACTTGTTAATACTAAATATCTCTTAACTTACTTTCTAGTATATAATATAAGTTACTAATCGAAAGACAGACAAAACTATAGCCAATCTAAAATGGTCGCAAGGAAAACAGATAACTGAAAACACAAACGCCACTAAAGGTCAAAGGTGAACTCAGATGCCCCTGGATGTGTTTACTGCTTACTGGTGCGTCTTCCGAATTACATTACTGTTGGAATTAATCTTAATACATTGCTATTAAACACAACATATAAACACTATAGACTGTACAACACCAACCCGAACAAAAACCGTGGGTAAGCACATAAAAAGTGTACACTTTGAGATCATTACTGTATATTAACCTACTGGCCATGACTATAGACGACGGATTTGCCCCATTTAAGTTTTGTAACACTGTCTGTCAGATTTCATAAGTTCATATCACTTGATTACCTGTATGCAGATCTTCGTCTGTAAAATTAGGTTGGTTAGACTGTAACAATTTCATAGTACAGATGCAGTAAGAAGCTTAAAATTTTTTTTTGAGTTTTTAGGTTTGTTTTTGTTTAGAGATTATACATAGACTGTTATTCCTTAACAGTTACAATATACCACAGTTGAATGTTACAGAAGCGAACAAGATACCAGAACTTATATTGTACAATAAAAATGACGTGGAAATATTTGTAAGTTAGTACTAGAAGAAAATTATAAATACAATTTTTTTGGGGTAAACTGTACATATTTATGAATTTATTGAAAAAAAGATACAAATCTTCTGTATACAATGTTTCTGTGAAAGGTAATATGGTTGTGTGATATCACTTCTTGAGTTCCACTTAACCAGTTAAGTGAAAGAATTGTACCGATTAGACATATAGTTTGCCATATTGTCCTTAAATTTGTCGTTTTTCGTGCCAAAGGTCAATATTTCTCTCCGGGCGCTCCGGCATCCTCCACCAATAAAAACTGACCGCCACGAAAAAGCCAATTGTGCTGAGAATTGTCAATCAATCAATCACATCAATCAATCAATCAATCAATCAATCAATCAATCAATCAATCAATCAATCAATTGTCCGTACAGATAGGACACATATTTGAATACGCTGTAAAGCAAAATAAATGACTCTGTAATTTGCCTATAAGATACTGTCATATTGATGACACTTTTTAGAATTTATATGTATCAGAGATTACCATTGGACAAAACGACATATGAAAAGTTAGATCATTTGATTAAAGATTTAGGATTTTACCGCCAGAAAAAGTTCAGTGACAAACTTCCAGCTGAATATGAAAACGGACCAGTTCCTCCGCCAGATGGCATTTCTATCGACGATCTCCTGGTCGGATTCTCCCTTTGTGGACGCTATGGAATAAAAAGTGAATTAACTGCAGAATATTCTTGTGGAAAATAAACCAACTTAGTATGACTACAAAAGAAAAAATACAGCTTGATACTCAATGATATGTTTATTGAAACAATTAAATTAAATATAAACATGGATGACTGGTTTCATGCTGTACTTCATAAATATCAATATTAAAAAGTAAAGTTGTGCATGCACATTTAATGTTCAATATGGTAAATATTTCTAATACTTTGTTTTTTGTATAATTTAATGTCACGGCGGAGTAAGGACCTTGAAATAAATATACACAGCAGCAGTGTTTATTTATATATAACTCCGTAAGTGTAAAACAGTTTAATCGAATGTACTTTAAAGTAGTAGATTGGATAGATTAAATTGTATACTGTCATGCAATGTTAATACTGTAGCTAAATTGCGTATTTTGGATTCCATTCTGAAGACTTTAAATGAGTTAACACTATGGTAGACACATTAAACCGTTTTGCCCGAACAAAGAAAAAGAAAGAGTAAGTTAAAGGTTAATTCTAAATAAGAATATAGAAAGAGGTCTAGGTCAAATGACTCTTGCTACGCTTTTATTAGAAAAATAGAAATTCATAATGAATTTCCATGCACAGTCAAAAAAGTCTCCATAACAATAATAAAAAAGGAACCAATAACGTTATTCTCAAATATAATGATACAAAATAGTTCTCGGAGGTTCTAGGAAAAGCAAAAATAGCTTTAGACTCAATGCTTTTGAAGGATATTCTGACGTTCCTGTCACAAGTCAAAGTAGTATACCCAAAATGCTTTGATGTTTGAAATGTACGTATGAAACCAGTCTACTTTATTACGTAGATAGAAAACAGCACAAAAACTATTGCCAATGTAATTTTCATTTCAACATCAAATCTTTTTGTCTTCCTTATTTTTGAACTGATTAAGAATAAACATTGATAAACAAACTCATCATAGATACCAGGCTTAAAATTTTGTCAGCCAGACGTGCGTTTCTTCTCCAGAGACTCACAAGTGACACGCAAATCAACAAGGTTAAAAAAGCCAAATGAAGTACGAAACTGAAGAGCATTGAACACCAAAATTTCGAAAGGTTTTGTCGAAAGCAGCTTAGGTAATTTTTTTCTAGGGTAGGAAATCCTGAGCATTTCGAAAATTTTTAAGTTTTGTGAAAAGTTAATTCATAATTATGACCATATCAATGATTATTCATGTCAACACAGAAGTAATGACTTCTGGGAAGTAATCTCCACCAGCAGTGGCATCGACCCAGTGGATGTAAATAAACTCAACATAGATAACAGAATTAAAATTTTGTACGCCCGACACGCTTTTCGTCTAACAAAAAAATTTCATAAGAGTTACTTCAAAATGCACGACAAATTATTCGTCAAATATGTTGCAAGATCTTAGCTGAATTCTTTGTAAAATGTAAAATATATTTGATAGGTTTTAAATGTGAAAACTTCGAGGAATTCATTTTTAGATTCATTTAAAAACAACATATTGCAATACAGCTGTTAACAATTTACTTCACTAGTCCAGAATTCTAGTGAAAGGTCCGTTTGTTAATAACAGAAATCCAGGGTTGCTGTAACACATAAAAAATTGTTCCTAGTCTTATATAAAGTATTGGTAATTCCTAAAACAAGTTGGATTTAAAGGCATTCAAGATGAGCTATCACGGACAAGGACATAAATATACTTTAAAAAATTTGATGTTACACTATTGTTTCAGGTAGGGTGAAGGTTGGCGCCTATTAAAACGTTTAAACCCGCTGCGTTTGTTTGCACCTGTCCTAAGTCAGGAACCTGATGTTCAGTGGTTGTCGTTTGTTGATGTGGTTCATAAGTGTTTCTCGTTTCTCGTTTTTTATATAGATTAGACCGTTGGTTTTCCTGTTTGAATGGTTTTACACTAGTAATTTTGGGGCCCTTTATAGCTTACTGTTCGGTGTGAGCCAAGGCTCCGTGTTAAAGGCCGTACTTTGACCTATAATGGTTTACTTTTACAAATTGTGACTTGGATGGAGTTGTCTCATTGGCAGTCATACCACATCTTCTTATATCTATTTAAAAGTAGTAACAGAAACGGAATTATTTGTAATTTTATTTTGTTCCCTTTCTTTTTTTTAACGAGACAGTAACTACTTTCGTTTCAATTATCGGTCATACTATTCTAATTAATCTAGTTACATGTATCCATTTTTAATGCGGGTGGTTGTTTGCATCTTCATTGACATTCTAATTGATTCAGTCTGAAAATAATCAAATGTTGGAGGAAAAATGGGGTACGGTATCTCTTCGAAAACAAAATGTGGTATGGTTTGCCCATGGGCAATGACACAAATATCCACTTAAGACCAAAGTAAAAAAGGAGTGAAAAATTAGATACAGATCACCGTACGGTTTTCAACAATGAACAAAAACCAATTCCAAATAGTACACTATAAAACACCCTCAAAATAACAAAATGTGTCAGATTCTACAACCCTACATAACCCTCATTCCATCAACGACTTTGTCTACGGAGATGGGGTTTCAAAATAATAAGCTCGTCTTGTCTTCCTTGACATTTTCGTAATTATTCGATTACAATCGAACGATTGTCGATTTATTAGAAACACACAAGTCCACTCACAAATAAGACTGCCTGGTGTGCTTCCTTCTAACAATCAACAGAATCTAATCACTGTCTATACCTTAATTTTAATGTCAATGTATCCAGACATTCGACTTTTAATAGTCTAATACCAAAATTCCCTCGTTATTACCCGGTAATCAAAGGGTAATGTTTAGATAACCAAGACATACCTGTTTCACAAAGACGAAGAACTCGCGTTTTGATTATTACACTACACTTTTTTAAATTTAAAAAAAATACCTTTAGGAAATTATTGTTAGTTTATCTGAGTGTTTAACCGAAAACATATTCGTTGAACTCAAGTATTGAATGATTGCATGTTGTTTACGTAACGTCGAATGTCAAATATTTAATTCATATCCAGGACTACTTAGCTAAGGAAGAGGAGAGTTTGGAGATATAAAAAATGTTGGGTCGCTTTAATTTTTTGTATCTCAGTTAAACCATTATATTGACCTATTTTTTTATACCATTCTGTCGAAGCTGGGGGAAAACTTTATTGAAACACTTAGCAATAATATATAAGATAAGATATACGATAAGAGCCAAGTTGTATCTCCAACTGAATGTAATGTTTAAGTACATTGTATGACAGAACTAGCTTTGTGTAAACAATGAACCGACATAAGGATATAGTGAGATAGTGAGGTGACAATAGTTTACCTATGTTTAAATCTTGCAAATCAATTAAGAAGAAACAAATAAAGATAACAAACAAAATATGAGGTAATTAAACATAAGCAGGTAAAAAAGGAAAGTTAACAAAAAACGTCATCTCTCTCGGTCCAGAAGAATAAGTACCAGGACATTGTGGAATGCCAATAAATAGGCTGGTCCTCTCCCTTGCAACATACGGGTATATGAGACACCCTTGTTGTTATATCTGCCAGAGCAAAACAGATAGAGGACAGGGAACCAGTCTATGCAAATAAATAGGTGCCAGGCTAGGAGACTTTCATTCTATACTACAATACGGGGGTTGTTTTTTCGATTTGGGAGTTTGCATTTTTATCCTGACTCTAAGGACATATATGTCCTTGTAGGCGGAATGCCCTCTGCTAGTTAAAGAATTCAAACCTTTCAAAGAATTCTCTCAATCAATATTTTTTCATGAAGATCGACACATAAATCATGAAACCAACCAGACTTGATCTTAAAGATATCTTATCACTATCGGATGCATATATAAAAGACATCTTTTATTGCTTCCTGTCTTTTTCTACATTGTTTTGAGAATTAATCATTTTATCCAAGACATGATTTTAGACATTGTAATTTATATTTTTTTGTACTGTGAATTCTCGATTATCTAACTGCCTTTGTTGGCTAATTGCATATTACCTATATAAACACTTCGTATATGTATTTTATTTAGAAGGATTTTGGAAAACAATTGTTACTAATAACGTAGTAAGGAACTTCTATCTGATTATTAGTTATATTATAGTCGAATATGACCTTCCGAAATAGATTCATCATCGGAATTGTACTTACATGAGCATGTGAAGCAAGATTTGAACACCAATCCGGAGTACCTGAAATAACCCCCGGCTTAGTGTTGCTCAGTCTTTAGTTTTTTATGTTGTGATTTGTGTACTGTTGTTTGTGTTTTCGTCATTTTCGATTTTTTGCCATTGCATTGTCATTTTGTTTTCGACATATGAATTTGAATGTCCTTTTAGTATCTTTCGCCTTTCTTTTATATATTACCTTTATAAAAGCTGTTTTTTGTCGTTCTGAATTTGAATGAAATATTTGTCTGTGGACGTTCAGCAAACAGCAAACAAAGAGTTATCGTTTTATATCCAAGTAGTGATTAAAATATACCTGAGACAACTTTTAAAAACGATATCTTGAATAAGGCAGTATATAGAACTTTATCAAAAAGTCTAACACAACAATATTTTAAAAGGTGTATACTTGAATTTATTGTCCGTTGGTAAGATTAAAATCAATGTTATAATGTGCTTTGCACCAGGTATCTATTTTTATTTTGTGTCTAATTATTTAAAGTCGATCTAACTGATCATGCATGAATTTAAACTTTACAAATTTGAACAGACTGTTTGATCTATGATATAACATATGTATATGTCTAATTATTTAAAGTCGATCTAACTGAATTTAAACTTCACAAATTTGAACAGACTGCTTGATCTATGATATAACATATGTATATATTGACAGATATTGACAAAATTGCAGGATTCACTGGTATGTTAGTTTGATTAGCTTTCTATATTACTGTAGATATAAAATGCCTGTTGAAACTTTACTAGCTTTTCAAGAGGTACATTTGCATTGTATATTTGCTTTGTTATCAGATTATCGGCGACACTACTTCATAAAAGAACATCACCTTGTCGTATATAATTGCATTTGTACAAAAAATCAACTCACGGAAATGATTATTACAGTATATTTAATGTAAAACTGTATATACAATATGTTCAATGTGGTTGATCTTAGATACAAACCTGTAGAATCTTAGATTTATATGAGATAATAATTACGCTTCCAGTGTTTGCTGAAAAATGCTATCAACTGATTATTTCTCAACCTCAATTGTTGTTTAGTTGTCTTGTAATTTCTTCAAGCTATAGTTGAGCACTATTCAGGCATATGATGTTGAAAAAAAAAAATTATCAAAGATAATATCAACACGTAAAACTGAAAAAAAAAGAGAAAATAAAAATACCTGCAACAAGTAAAAAGTAAAATGACCCTTAAAAAGTGATAATTCTTTCAACTTGAAACCTCTACATATAGTTAACCGATTTTGTTCATGCTACAAAGCTAAAGTTACGACTGATACTCTGCACATCGTTTTGTTGACAACAGGTCACAGTAGAAAACAAGATTTATCCGGTTTTCGGAGAATAGCGGGAAAATGTTGTCGAAAAAAAAAACGATTATGATAAAATTATGTTTTTGGCGGTTTCCATAATTGAACACGTGACTGCGGCAACCAATTTAGACGCAAACTATCAACATCAAACATGTGGGAGCAGGTTGAATAATAAAGGCAAAAGTAGTATACCGCTGTTTAAAAGTCATAAATCGACTAAATGAATAAATGTGTTCATCGACCAGATATAAAACGCCATGGGCTAAACTCAGAATGGATTTCGTCAGCATATTGACACCCTTATGTCAGCCGTCTTGATTCTTTTCATTTGTGATGTCAAAGATAGAGCAGAAAAACTGCGATTCTAACGTTTGTTAATGAAGAGGAAACGAGAACAACACAAAATCTCCAACACGATGAAGGAGGTTAGCATCTTAAAGCAGTTAAACCCCTTGAACTAGAGGAAATAATAGTAGAAGTTGATACCGTTAATAAATCGCAAGGTTGGAATGTTACATTATTTGATGCAACATAATGTCACATACGGACACGTAGATTGTATGAATGTTCACATGCATACTTATGCGTTAGATTGATTGTTACTGATAACGTTGTAAGTAATTTCCATTTAACCATATGTTATATTATAGTTGAATGTGACCGACCGAATTAGATTTATCACGGATTTGTACTTACATAATCAACATGACGAGTGCTTCATGTGGAGCAGAATTTGCTTACCCTTTCAGAACACCTAAAATCACCCCCGGTTTTTGGTGGGGTTCATGTTGCTCAATCTTTAGTTTTCTTAAATTTTACTTTCGCATATAATGATAATGTCCTATCACTTAATAACCGATATTTCAGTCAGTACTTGCAACTAATATATCCCAGTGAACTTGAAATTAAGTATACTACTGATACTAGAAGGACTACTTCATACCTTGATATTCCTCAATTTTGACCCAGATGGACGACTTCAGACTAAAATCTATGAAAAACGGGAAGATTTCAACTTCCCAATTATCAATTTCCAATTTCTCAGCAGTAACATACCGTCTGCCCCGTCGTATGGTGTTTACATATTTCAATTGATACGTTATGCCTGTGATTTTGCTTTTTGATTTTTGGTGTTTTAACGCCACTTTTAAGCACCGCTTTTGGGCTATTTCGTGCCGGCCAGTTTTTATTGGTGGAGGCAGCCGGAGTGCCCGGAGAAAACCACCGACCTTCGATAGGAAAACTGACAATCCTAGTCAATTAAGATTGGAGTCGAGTGCACCCGCACGAGCGGGGTTCGAACTCACAACCTCAGTGTTATCTGGCTAGTGATTACAGTAGTAACTACTTAGAACACTCGGCCACCGAGGCCCCTCGTTATGCCTGTGCATGTTTACACTATACAGACTTCATATACAGGAGTGTGCTCCTTACGCAGAAACAGCTCATACAGAGTTATGAGGAAAGGAGGAAAGATTAAAAATGATACTCCGTAAATTTTATGGACACCATCACGAATTGGTTGTTCTATACGATGTGTATGTGTCTAAACTAACTAACGACAGTTTTACCACGTTTACCATCTACCTCGCCTGGTTTGCTTAGTACTGAACGTGACCTTTTCCCAAATATGACTGTTTTGCCGCGTGTGAATTCGCATTGCTATACGACGTGTCTTGGTATCTATAAATCCAACATTCATGTATATAGTTATGTTTCATTTGTAAGTCCGATTAGATATTTTGTTATGTGTTATATTCGATTTTGGAGACGACCTGGTTCGGTATTTTCATATCCCGCTGTCGGGCATTTTGTTGTTACTTTCTTATACGTGCGGGTCCAATGGGTCATTTTGTGCTGAGTTGTTGTCTGTTAATTTTGTTTGTGTTTTGAATTCATTATTTTCGGTACATATTCACATATGTCTTATTTGTCAGTGTAGTTAAGTTACTCGTACTGTTTGGTCTTACGTGATCTTGCCTTATTTTACAGTAATTTTATGTTTATTTTCTATATGCATGTAAATATTAAGATAAAAAATCAGCTACTTCATTTATATGATTTTAAGATTAAAGCAACTTTTTTTCACAGGATTTTTTTGTTTATACACAGTTTTGATTTAGAAGAAAATCCGACGTGGATAGAAAATACAAATAATAACACGATTGCAAACTTAATCCCAATTTAATATTCTTGTACGTGTCTATAAATAAAACAAATCTATTCTATATTTAGAAATTTACCTGTGATAATATAAACGTCCCAAAAATACGTCACTTTTTGTGACGTTGCTCCATTCATGAGACGCGCAGTTTAAATTTCGTTTGTCGTGTCATGGTGTGCTGTCGTAAGTTCATGGGAGGTGTCAGTTGATGTTCTGCGGTTTACATTGTGTAATGTACTATTATGTATGTGTACTTCTCTGTGCAGAGTGTTCTTGAGTTTGTTTGTATTGTATTCCTGTCACGTAGTGTTGTCATTTTAGCGGTGTTTTAACGTTGCCATATAAGCATGAGATTTGGCTAGCCATAAAACCAGGTTCAATCCACCTTTTTTTTCTTAAAATATCCTGTACCAAGTAAGGAATATGGCAAAAATTGTTATCTAAAGTCCGTTTCTGAGGATGTTAGCGTTTGCTTTTGTTGTCAATCAGTGTTTCTGTTGTTCCGTTGTTCTCCTCTTATAGTTGATGTGTTTCCCTCGGTTTTTAGTTTGTCACCCGGATTTGGTTTTGTGATTGAACAGCGTTATACTAATGTTGCAGCGTTACACTAATGTTGCTTTTATTATGCACTGTTGTTTCTTCTTTTTTTCGACATATGAGTTTAAAAGTTCTTTTGATATCTTTCGAACCTCCTTTATATATTAACTTTAAAAACGCTTCATATTTATAATTCAACCTATTTGTTGGATTAAATGTTTGTATGACATATTTGTCAGTGACCGGTAGGTAAACAGCAACTGATGAGTTATCGTTTTTATTGTCAAGTAGTGTTCATCAGAGGCTACTTTCTTAAATGATATCTAAAAGTATAAAACTCATAAAACTTATTCCAAAAATCTACCCTTTTACACCAATATTATGATAAGCGTATCCATGAACTTATTGTCTCTTGTAGAGATTAAAATTCATTCTCTAATGTGCATTCTACCAGGTGTCTCCTTTGTTTTGTGTTTAATTATTTAAGTTGATCGAGCGAAACTAGAACTTTACAAGTTTAACGAACTGCTTGAACAACAGAACATAATACAAATGTATGGTATAACATAGGTATATATTTACAGATATTTGCACGAAGTTGTGGCGAATTTTCAAATTCAATGGTATGTTAGTACGATTAGTTTAATACATAACTTTTAACATTTGATGCTTGTTGAACTGTACCAGCTTTCCAAAGTTACATTTGCTTTATGTATTTGCTTTATAATCAGCTTATCTCCGTCACTGTTTCGATATACTGTTCGATTTTGAATATAAGTCAACTTCAATATTGCAGAACATAACAACGAAAACACAATTAAAGGATGTAATTATGAAATACTGTATACTGTGAATTCAGAAAAGTTTACGATTTTTTTTATTATTGCGAAAATTGACACCAGAAAGCTTTGCAAAATTAAAACCTCGCATTTTCGATTTTGAAAGCATTTTTTGTATGAAACACTTCTTCAATCGCAATTATTGATCCCGTATTTGTGTCTATATTGTTAAAAAATAGCAATTATAAATGCACTCAACACATTTCTGATTACAATAGTATAGTATGTTCAATTAGGTTAATCTTAGATAAAAAACAAAAACTTATAAAAAATAGTTAAGTTCTACCAAAGTTGATAGTATTGAGAAAACTCATCAACGATATATATGAGTACGTAAAACCAACAAAAGATAAAACAAAGACAATGCAACAATCGGCCCATATAAAAGTTATAACACTCTTAAAAGTAATTATTCTTTAACTTGAAACCTATACATACAGCTAAGGTTAAGAGTGCTACTCTTTACAACGTTTTGTTAACAACGGGTCACAGTAGAAAAATTAATTTCACCGTGTCTAAAATTTTGATAGCAATATGCTTTATTAAACACGTGACTACGGCAATAAATCAAGACGAAGATGTTCAACTTCAAAACATTTCGATACCAAGATTGAAGACGCAATGAGCCAGAATCGGAATTGATTTCGCATATTGACAAACTTACATTCAGCCTTCTACAAACTTTTTAAATATCCGTCTTTAAACGCATATATAGCTTTGTTATGTCAGAGAAAGAGCAGATAGAATGCGGACTTAACACCCTCAAACTTAAAGGAAATGAAAACGACAAAACAAGGTTGTTCCAGGAGCCACAAGACAAAATGAAAATACATCAATTGCAATGAGGAGCTTAAGTGACTTACTCAGAAAAAAACAGATAAAGCTCGAGGATCAGTCTGAAAACGGACGGAGAACAGTTATCAATTATAAAACGTACAGTATAGCATAAGAATCGGTAGTCATTTTTTATAACCACTTTAAAAAGAAAACTGTTTAAAATGCGTGAAATGTTCCAAACTTATTTTTGCCCTCATAAAAATAATCTGAATTCATATATAAAAAGTTAACATAATTTGTATTAGAAAATACCGACATTGGCACCTGGAGTACTTTTCAAGCGTACCCAATTACAACTGTATAATTTCTAATATTGAATGAAAGCAATTTTGTTTAACATAATTATTCATCAAATGTATTCACTTGTAGGAGTAATATTCCTGTCGAAGAATGCAAAAAGGCAAGATGTGGCCGCATCAGCAGGTTAATGCAGATAAGACCCTTGAACTCGAGCCAATAATAGTAGAAATTGCTACCACAAATAAATTGCAAGGTGGGTACAGTAACATACATTATTTGATGATTAATTTCTTACACTGCAGAAATACACAGTAGAACAGACACTTCTTTACATACGTTAAGAATTAATCCCCGACCCTTGTCGCCTTTCATGGTTTTATTTTATGTTAGTGTAAAGTAATTCTGAAATGACATATTACAAAATTAAAGTCATTCAACTTAACATATTCGTAAGGAAGCATAATGTTAAGAGATTTGCAGGAATTGAAATATTTATATAAAGGAAGGATATACCAATTACCATAGGCGAATTTTGTCCTGTTCTTATATCAATAACGTAACAATTATCATACTGGTTAACAATAACTCTGATGGTTTTGCAGGTTATATGAAAAATGATGTTCCCAACGGGACAATGTATGAGTTTTCATATACTTGGACATCTAAACGATTGCGAAGGATTTCGCATGAATTTTTATTTCATTTGGAAAATAATTATATCTGATGATGAAGTAAGAAATTTTTATTCAATCATAAGTCAAAATACATATTTTAAGATATGGATATTTTCAATAAGTTTCTACACAACACAGCCCCTTTACAAATGACAAAAAACTGATATGCTAAAATTTCGTGTATATCCGAGAGTCACAGATTTTTCCAAAATCAATCAACAGCAACAACTTTTTTTCCAAAGTATTTTATAGATTATTTCAGACATTAGAAAAAGAGGAAAATTAGGGAGACTGAGATTTTAAGGTTATTTTCTAGATCACAGGGCCTTAAAACGAACAGATCATTCAACCGGAACAAACACAAACTTGGTTTTTACTTTTGAATACAATGACTACATGCACCATCCCTTTTCAATTGAATCAGGCATATTTGATCCTTAATTTCTTGAATCTTTTGTTGCATCAATCTGATGATTCAGACATTTTCAATTTATTTTTTATAATTTGTTCTAATGTTTTTCTGTTAAACCACCCAATTTGGGGCAGTTTAAGCGTTCGTTAACATGCTTATCCACTTTACATTCTGTATGTGCCGGTAAAAATTATCAAAGATACCAGGTTTATCATTTGGTACGCAATACGCTAGTTACGTCTATGAAAGACCTATCAGTAACGCTCAAAGCAAACAACTGAAAATTCCAAAAAGTTATTCAACGGTTGTCGTTGTTTGCCCTCTATCATATATATATATATATATATATATATTATATATAAATCAGGCCGTCTATTTTCGTTTGAAATAGTTCTACATTTTGCCATTTTGGGGTTTTTGTAGCTGACTATGCGGTATGAGTTATGCCAATTGCTGAACGCCGTACGGTGACTTAGAGTAGCTCATCTGAGCGTCACTGATGAGTCTTATGTAGACGAAAGGCGCGTCTGGCGTATTAAATTATAAGCCTGGTACCTTTGATAACTTCATACATATCTACGTCATTTGGTATCTACTAGATAGTTGTCTCGTGGCAATCATTCCACATCTTTTTATTTTTATATAATGAATAATTGCGGGAATTTTAAGCAAAAAGTAAAATAACAAAAATACCGAACTCCGAGGGAAATTCAAAACGGAAAGTCCCTTAACAAATGGCAAAATCAAAAACTCAAACACTTCAAACGAATAGATAACAACTGTCATATTCCTGACTTGGTACAGGCATTTTCTACATTTTTCTTATGTAGAAAATGGTGGATTAAACCTGGTTTTATAGCTAGGTAAACCTCTCACTTGTATGACAGTCGCATAAAATTCCATTATATTGACAACGATGTGTGAACAAAACAAACAGACATAACAGGTAAAAATGTCAATAATAGGGATACAGCAGTCAACATTGTGTTAAAATCTCAATCACGATAAAAACAAACAAAGAAAGACAAAAGGCACACAGACAAAGCACATTAGCAAAAACGAAAGACAAGAATACTAAAATTTTACCATAGCATAATAACACAATGACGAGATGTATAAGTACCGAGCCACGTCAAATGGATATTACCAAAAATAGACTAAACAGAAACAGTAATAATTTACAAAGACAAATAAAAGAATGCTATAACACGTTATTAAGATGATAAACAACGTCAGTACCTATTGTCTGTTTCTTAATACCACATCTTCCACGAAATTTCAACTTTCAATATACCAAATTTCTAATCGTTAATTTGAAGCCTTGCAGAAAATTGTCGTTTGTGATTCCGAATCGAACAATTAAAGCATTAAAAATAGATCATATTTTCGGATCTGTGTATGAAATTTAATTAACACCTTTCGGTATATCGTTTTTTAAGTTTTTTATGAAGCTTGTATCACGTACTTATAAAAACACTACGTCGGTCTAGTTATTCCGCTATTGAATCGAGTGGTTGAAGGTCGTTTCCTGGCCAATACAATCCAGACTTTTATTTTTTCTCTTCTTTGCTAAGCACATTACATAAAAGAATAGGAACAAAGACCGGTCTGCTAAAATATGTATCTGTGTTAACATTGTCTTATTTTGAAATATTTCTATGTAACCTTTGGCGTACAACTCTGTCCGTTTCAAGCAAAAATGTGGATTGTCCTGTTGGTCTTGTACACATCATGATTCATTTATGTATCAAATCAAAATCATTTTGTCCTTAATGTCAAAGATGTAATTGTCGCTGTAAAACATCTATCTATCCAAAGTCATATTTATATTTTTGCAACTTTCAGTCATAATAATCGACATGATACTTAGAGGCCACAAAAACATTGGTCGAAATAAAACAATACCAATATGTCTAAATGAAAAACAACAGAACAAAAAGAACTGTTCAGAAAATGATACACATTAAAGTAAACAGTTACAGAATTGTCTCCCCTGGGTTTTTGGTTCTAATCTTTAGTTTTCTAAGTAGTATTTTGTGGATTTGTTTGTCTTTCAATCATTTTTAACTGGGTTTTACGAAGGTAAAAATGGAGGTCAAGTTCAAGTAAAACTACATAAACCAATCAATAAATTCAGGTATTAAATGGGATGCTACAGAAGTTTATGTAGGACTTACCATTTGACCACTGTTATATTACGTTGATAAGTCATACCAAAATAGTGTAAATGATTTAAATGACTGGTTAAGTTAGGAACATATAGTAAAATACATGTTTGAAAAACTTCCTTAAGTTTGAATGTGTTTGAAAAATGAAAAGTAAATTCAACACAAAATCAACGCAATATCCCCTAAAGCAGAACTTGTAATTTATCTATTACACTCTTTTATTAAGCCTGTATACGCACCCAGTCCTGCTTCTTTTGGAGTTCATGCAATCCCCGCAGTTTTTGTTTGATAACTTGTGTTGTCGTTTCCTCGTCGATTTACGAGATTTTAACCTCTGTAATCTACTGTCGTCTTAATTAATCTCTTTTATATATTGTAGTTGTGACACCCGATTTAGAAGACACCAAGAAAAGATGGTTAGTTGTTGGTATCTGTCTTCATAATGTTGTAGCACCAGTACTGAGACAACATGTTTCCAAATTCATGGACCAGATTTATAATACGCTTATACAAACCCCTGACTGTATAGATAAACAACGTTATCCAAACCAATTGAAGTTCTATCCAAAGACAGTCAAAAGCCACAAACTGAATTATGAAGCTGTCAACAACAACAGTAATGTTCGTGATCTTCGAAATCAGAAAGATTATAAGAACTATAAATATAAAATACAGAATCCTGTGGAATTCTCGAAGTTGTTCTTGGCTACAAATATGGCGCAATTCATCGGTTTTGATGAAACCTGTGACTCTTCGGCACTTCTCAACATTATCGGAAGAAGTGATACATCTTTACTCGGTAAAGTGGCAGATAAAGTAGGTTTTTTAAAGTCAGGCAACAAGATTTATGACAACTAAGATTTGTAAAAAATAATTCAACCGCCATGTGAAAAGAATTGACATTCTGCACGACTGAAATACAAAGCATTATTCTTAATATCTCCAGACGGCAAGCAAATTCTTATGTCTGAAGGATACATTGATTCTTCTTTTCATGATTTTGCACACATCTCATTTTCAATGCAAATATCCATCTTTGGAAACTTGCAATTGCAATTGCCACATTCAAAAAGGGTGATTAATCTCTTCCATCGAATAACTGACAAATCTCACTGATCATTTGTATGGATAATATTATGGAAGGGTTTTATATAAACATTTTTACAACCATTTCATTAAAAAACTAATATATTGATTGTACTTTTTTATGTTCTATTGTCTACCATCTACTTAAAAATTTATATTGAAATCGCCGTACTTTTTTTTTTTGCTAATAAACCCTAAGTTGTTCAGCAGTTACTTAAACTTTATTTTATACTAGTTTTGAATTCGGTGGAATAAAAAAAAGTGTTTTGCATTGTTTGGTATAGAGGTATTGTGAGAAAAAAAACAGGTTGACATGGAAAACTCATTCAGACACCAGGTCAGTGATGGTGGACGTTCCGTCCCAGATGCTATAAATAGCCCAGTATTGAAAACTTGTATACTGTAATAAATATCGTATTATATTCCTTTTCTGTAAATTTAGTGTTTTAGGAAATGTAAAATTATTCGAAACACTAAGTTTTGTTTATCCCAAGGCATAAATCGCATTATCCGTTTTTGACACAAAACATATTTCGAAATTTATGGTTTTGAATGTTCTTTACCTTCGTATTTGGTTTGGTTTTCCAACTGTTTTGATTCTATCGCCATTGATGTGTCTGACGTAGACGTAACGCGCGCCTTGCATTCCAAATTATAAACCTGTATACACATACAGATATTTAATTAAGATATACTTATATCGTGCCGAAAAAAAAGCGTAATTATTGACTGTATTATATTCGCTGCCTTTCTGCTTTTATATTGTTTGTTCATTTATTACTGTCTGGACACTGATGCCATTGTGCTGTGAATATTTGTTAAATAAATATATCTATGTTCTGTATTGCGAACGACTAAAGTACTAGTAATTTATTTTGTTATCATTACATTCTTATCTATATTGCAGCTACGAGCTAAAGTAAGGAATCCATGGGCACACTGTAATTTTACCGAATGGGATACTGTGAAATATTTAGATTCAATGCAGAAGATGCAACAGCTTATAAGATGTCTACACATGCCATCAGAAAAACAAATTCTAGCAGACCTAAAGTATTGGGAAGTAACTGGTACATTGATAACGTTAACATCATGTTCCTTTATTCATGGTTATATAAAGTACATGTAGAGGACCGTCTTCGAATCAATTTAATATCAACAATAATGTAAATATAAAAATAAGAAGATGTGGTATGATTTCCAACGCGACAACTCTCCACAAGGGACCAAATGACACAGAAATTGAATACTTTGCGTCACCGTACGGCCTGCAACAATGAGCAAAACCCATACCGCATAGTCAGTTATAAAAGGCCCCGAAATGACAAATGTGAAATAATTCAGACGAGAAAAACTAACGGCCTGATTTATGTACAAAATAATGAACGAAAAACAAATATGATACACAGCAACAAACGATAACCACCGAATTACAGGCTCCTGACCTGGAACAGGCAAATACAAAATGTGGCGGGGTTAAACTAGTTTGAAGGCGCCAACCCTGTTGCATACCTGGGACATTGGTGTAACAATACAACATAAGAACAAACTATCAAAATCAGTTGATTGTCCTTTTCTCGATATGAATGTTTCAGTTTCCTTTGCAAAACTCGCGACTGAATTTAACGACAACAAATGATTTTTTGCTTTCGTTGATTTTCTTTTTGTGGTCCTGTCCTTCGTCATATTTATTACCCAAATTGAATAAAATCAATGAAACCAGAACATCAGAAAGCGGACTAGTGTCAGAGTAATTGTATTCGTATATTTGCAGGGACATTCTGTTGTTTAAGTGTTTCTCATTTCCAGGTTGACGTTTTAGTTTTAAGCTGTCATTTGGTGCAAGACAATTTTTATAGCACAATTCATAACGACTTGATGAAATGCGAGAAAAATGACGAATACCTATGTGCACTGACTGAAACCCAGAGAATCAAGCACTCTTAAACATTATATTGGAACCTTGTCGTTATATCATAACAAAAATTTATTTAGATTATTATTTGTCTAAATATATTCCTCCTTAATACCGAAAAGACATTGCAAACATTAGACTGTCTTCACATTTAATGACTATGGAGGCTGGTCATTTTGACAATGTATTTATGATGGATTGTTATGCAGATTAAATCGGCAATGTATTGCGGACGAGTTACATTCCGTTCGTGTGGGCTCGGAATATAGAGACTTGAAGTTTACAAAAAAATATAAAAGAGTGCCGAAAGATACCAAAGGGACATTTAAACTCATAAGTCGAAAATAAACTGACAATGCCATGGCAAAATAAACTAAAAAAAAAACAAAGACAAACAACAGTATACAAAACACAACAAAATAAACCACTTTCGAGTTATGTCCTTCACTGTGAAAAAATATCGTCAATTATGCGCGCCTTTATGACGTCATTTAACAGAAATAGGGGATCGCCTGTATCCCTGCACTTTTAACGTTCATCAAGCGTCTTAGTGATCGTCATTGTGCAGGATAAACTAGAAATAATGTTTGTCCCGTAGGTACTTAATCACAATTCCCTAAAGACAGCAGTGTTGATTGTCAATTATAAGAATTTAATTTGCTGAATAGTTCGTGCAATATAGCATCATATTTTTCCAACCACTCGCTCAACATGGGAACGGTTGTGACGATGCCCCTAAACGCACGAATGATGTTCACTAAAACCAAAGTTTTTGACGGAAATGCATCGAACTCAAAAGTTGTCTATTAAATGTTATAAGATATAACTTGTATAGACCGAATGTAGTTTGATTCAGTTTTTGTTCTTCTATAAAATGAAAACCGTTATTTGGGGAGGGGTAATATTCTTCCGTCTTTTAAACTAGGAACAGTATTTTACAACAATGATTGACATTATCTTTCTACATTTTAATTTCAAATACTACTTTTACATGATGTAATTAACCGATGAGCTGTAAAGCTTGAGAAAAAACCCAGTATATACTGATTTTTTTTTTGGTGTTGTCATCTGGTACTTTATGTGAGTTATTTTTATGACAACCTTTCCCATTTTCAATCGTGTCATACAGCTCCGTCGACTTCGACTTAGCCATATATGTTTTATCTATATTCCTTCTTCTCCTTCTCCTAGTATATTAGTTATCAAATAGTCAGTGTCAGTTTTACAATTGTAGTCTATCATTACTATTTTTGAAACTGAAGAGCCTTCACAAGACCATCATTTCAGAAATTCGATCACACCATTTTCTTACGGCATGTTTAAAAATTGGTTTATGTTTAAGTCTGTCATATTAAAACTTTCAAAATATGAATTATATTAACTCCTTGAATAAGAATTTTTTTCAGATTTTCCCGTTGCACTCAATGATAAAACATACATCCTTTAGAAATAGATGACCCGGTAAAGATGTCATAAGTACCTAATGAATTAGGTTAAAACCTCAGGCATATTGAAGATACAGTTGTGTCATCTATTTTCTTGTTCTTTTTCATTAAATTTCATTAAAAAAGCACTAGTATTTAAACACTATGCTTAAAGTCAAAAACACTTTCTAGACCATTGAAATTTTATCTTCACAAATATTAATGTTTAACACGATGATCTTCTAACATTATGATAAAAGACTAGTCCAAAAAAGTTGGAAGACCTATATTACTGCAAATAAAACACAGGTAATATCTAGCCTTTCTAGCTAATATCTAGTTTTTCTGACACACCAAACAAAAATACAATCAAATATTAAAGACACTGATTAGACTATATAAGAGAATCTGGTTAACCATTTGACATAAAATCATTTAATGATGAGTTTGCACATAACATGCTGAAATATGTATTTGACATAACATTGGATACCTGATCTGACGCGATTGATTTTGGTGAAAGACGTATACTAGCGTTTGTTTCGATAAAGCTTAAATTATAATTATATTTTTATTATTTATAGGTTGAAAAAATATAGCTTCCTTAACGAGGATTCCGATTTAGTATTTCCATTTTAGACGGATCTTAACACATTAAATATCCCCTGTAAAATTCCAGTTTAAAATATGTTTATCATACTTCCTACGTATGAGTAAACGTTTAACAATATATATGTTCATACCACGGTCAATATCTCAATTTCAGGTATCAACTTCTTGCAAGGAACAAGATTGGGTCTAGAAATAGTAGACGAAATAAATAAGCACACTCAAAGTTTGGCACAGTATGTACTTCAACTCAAAGATGATTCCAGTTCCTACTCTGATACGGTTCACAAGTCGTTGGTACAGATATCTAATGATATGAGTAATGCCTATAAACGTATCGAACAAATTGATAGAGATTTATCAAAAATCACTATTGAAGTCAGTTCACTGAGGCTCCACACTGATACGATTGAGCAGACTGTAAATGAAAACGTCCAAGACATCAAAGATATAAAACATGATATAGAAGGCATAAAGAGGTATAACTCGCAACTGAGACCAGATGGAAAAGTTTTCTTTTATCCACCGGATAGAGTTAGTGTTTTTGTTGGTAGGGACGACAAATTGCTTTCTTTGAAAGAGAAATTTTTCCAGAACAAAGCTGTTAACCACATAGAGGTAATATGTGGATTAGGTGGATGTGGTAAAACTACTTTGTCCATAGAATTTGCATGGATGTTTCAGCAGTTCTATCCTGGTGGTGTTTTCTGGCTATCTGCGGAATCAAACGAATCGCTAGATGATACAATCTACACATTAGCGATAGATGTAGACAGACAAGGGCAAAATAGTAAGGAGACACTTCAAAGAACTCTTACATGGCTAGCACGCTTAGAAAAAAGATGGTTACTAGTTATCGATAACGCAGATACAGATATCATTTCAGGTCAGCTAAAAAAACTTCTGTTAGGAACGTGGAAACGAGACACTAGAGGTCACATCATAATAACAACAAGACGAGAACCACTGGCGGTAGAGGAAACTTTACATATTGACAAAAATGACTGCAATTATCTTGAAACATTAAATGAAGAAGAAGGAGTTCAATTTATGATTAAACGCACTGAGATGTTTGATGAAGAATCAAATGACAGCATATCAAAATTAGTAAATGAGCTGGGCGGTCTTCCGTTAGCTTTGGAACAAGCTGCGGCACATATCAAATCCATTAAATGTTCCTTCAAAGAATACTTAACAAATTTTGAGATGGAGCGCTTGGAATTGTTGTCAAATACTACAAATCCATCGTTTGAAACAGATATAAATAGGCTAGCAGTAATGACAACATGGAAATTGAATATTGAATACATAAAGTATCAGTCGGAGCAGGCAGGGCTTGGAACAACAGCTTTGGTCGTTATGAAAGTAGCATCTTTTTTTTTTGCAGACGATATGCCAATTGAAATTTTTAATATTGGCGAACCGATAATAAGTGACGAAGCAGCATGTAAAGCATTAACACAGCAAGTTGGAGTTAAACGAGTGCTTGAAATTTTAACAAGGTTTTCTTTATTTCAGAGATACCGACCAGATAGCTTATCAGTTCACAGATTAGTCCAAGAAGTGATAATAAGTAGCCTTAACGGAGAAGAAAAACACAGTGTTCTTCAGTGTGCAATAAGGATGATTAATAAAGCACTCATATCAACAACAGCTCCGCACACAGTTATCTATAAAAATGAAAGTGAATCACATGCTTGCAGAGGATTACTTAGTGTGTGGAGCAAATTAGCGGGAAATGCACATGCATTAAAAATTCATCTCACTGTCAGCAAGGAAAGCGAAAAAAACAAAGATCTATATGTCACTTTAGAGTCCGTAAGAATAATGCAAGCGTCAGCTATTTACAATAGTCTGTTCCAGAGACAAGATGCAGCTTTAAGGGATCAAAAACAGATGCTTAATATAATAGCGTCCTTAGATTTGGATACAAGTACTTGTAGAGAGTTGACAAATATTAAAGTACCACTATTAGAAAGAGATCGCATACGCATTCAAAATAGCATCGCAACTGTTTTACAAATTAAAGATAATGAAAATCAAATAAAAAGTTCTACAAAAGTCCTTCATACCCCAGAAAGGTTGAGAGTATTTGGTAATCAGGCGTTTCAAGAAGAGCGATATGAAGACGCTTTACAATACTATACAGAAGCGTTGCGGGCTTGTCCCAAAAACACGTACGACCAAAGGATTCTTTCAAACAGAAGTTTAGTTTATCTAAAACTTCATGAATATACTTATGCTCTTAACGATGCGAACGCTTGTATTGAAATTGATCCTAATTCTTGGAAAGCTCATGCATGGAAGGCATACGCTATGGCAGAACTCACAGGTACAGACAAACTGCAACCTGAAATGGAAGGTTCAGGTAGAGCAAGTGCTTGTATTGCATCCTTTTTAAATGAAGAATGTCTGCTTGAATATAAAATGAAAGTACATTATCCCATATTATTGTATGAAATCATTGATTGTGAAAATCAGCATAACAGTTTACGTGATCGCGTCATGTCTATCGTTGAACGTCCTTTTACAACATACATGCTAAAGAAAGGGCGCTACACATTTAAACAATTGTTAAAAACAACAAAGAGTTGTCAAGTTATAGGAGTTGAACAAGGAGTAGAAATCGATATAGGTATTGGGATTCATATTTCCAGACCTTTAGATGCTAATTTTAAAATTGAGTTTGAGCGAGAACGAGAAATAACTGTTCATTTTGAGAACATATCGTTCTTTTCTAAAAATAGTCAAGTCAAAGTAGAACATGGTGGAATTGCTTCTTTCTATAGATGTATCTTTTCAAACCAATTTCCTTCAGATGAAGTAAATTTTAAATGGGACGAAAATATTGACCTGTTTTATCCGCAGTTTTTAAGCATTTTAAATAACATTGACAAAAAAAATGTTTCAAGCATCACCTCACTTAAGGGCGGTAGACTTTTTTTAAACTCATGTGATATAAGAAGTAATGGTGGTTGTGGTATAAGTATCCGTGGGGAAAACTCTCATCTTGCCATTAACAATTGCAATGTACATGAATCATTGATAGGGATAGTAGTTTCAAATGGAGGAAACATAGAAGCTTTTGACAATCAAGTTAGCAATAACACATTGCATGGCGTTGCAATTGGTCCGAATGGTAAAGCAACTTTAAGACGTAATACTATTTCACAGAATAAAGCAGAAGGTATTTGGGGTGGTGGAAATGTCAAATGCGAAGAAATAACGAATTCGGTCAATGCAGTTGACAATATTATACTTCAAAACGGTTTATCTGGCATTTGCTTAGAAGGTGGATCCTTTTTATTAAAGAACAATTTAGTTTCCGACAATTGGGCATGGGGAATTTTCATACACAACAGATCCTCTCTTTTAGCTGAAAACAATGAAATTTCTTGTAACAAGTGCGGCGGTATAAGAGTCGGTATAAATTATTCTGCCTCTGTTATCATTGACGGAAATACAATAAAAGATCATAGTGGGCCAGATCTCTTAACTATTAATGAGTCAACGTATATGGTAAAGGCTGACGATATAGACGAGATTGAGGTATATACAACCCAAACAATCATAACAGACAGAAACATCTTATTTAACAATAATAAACCAGTGCAATCACCTAGAGATGCAGTCGAATCGTTAAAAACATGTTGTTGCTGCCACAAAATGTCAACAAATTTGAAAGCATGTACGAACTGTCGAATTGCTCAATATTGTTGTAAAGAATGTCAAAAGATGCACTGGGTGCGACATAAGCATAGGTGTCCTCTCCTTTCAAAAAAATATTCAATAGAAATTCAAATAAAAGACACAAAAAAAAATAAACCACCTACTTTTCATTCTTCACTCATAGGACTTGGCGAAGGGCATAAACCTGATGTGGAATCAACTAAGAAGTTCATCGTAAAAATTCAATCTGACCATTATTACGTGCCATACAACCCAAGAAAGTCTATGACACTCTATGATCAAAGCGTTAAATTGAATATAATATTTAGGCATTCTGAAATTTATCATCTGTGCAGTGAATGTGGAAGACTCAGTGGCGACAAGATTGCGTCGAAAAAACTTTTTTGCTGGGCATCATATAAACAAAGAGGTGACATTCTTTGTATCCATACTGACGAACTCCCGGAATTTCAAACGTGGTGAAATGTTATCCCATTAATTTTATAGCTTACACATTCAAGTAAATTAATGTCAAAGTATATTCTCAGTGATAAGTGTCCACATTTAGTGGCTTTTTGTCGACAAAATATATTCAATGATTCTGAAAGGAACCATTATCGATTGACTTCGTTGTCTTAGATTGGCACTTCCGAATATAAATGCAGGATTGAACCAAATTGACATTGCCCAAAACTTTTAAATTTTATGACAGTCATTTGGAATGCAAATTATACAAGAGTATCTTCGAAGCTTACGTAATCCAACAGAGACTGACATGACCAATATATGTATCAAATTCATTTTTCACATTTAGTTCTGATGTGGTTGAAATCTAATACAGCTTGAATAACCACACAAACCTTCATTGACGAGAGTATCATTTATTTGATGTGATAAAAATTTAGAGGCGATTGCTACGAAACAAATATTGCACTCACGGAAGCAAATGCATAAGAAACACATGTCTTTATCGATGTTACAAATAGAACATGTAGTTTTTCCCCAGTAAAAGACAGATCCAACATATGACTGAAACTGAGCGTTTACAAATTTGCTAGAACACTATGCTAGTTAAACCTACAATTTAAATAACTATATATTTAGAAATATTACATCAAGGAGGGCAATATCAAAAGAACGTTATGTGATCTGATTGATATGGATTGAGTTCAAAGTGTAAATATAAGTACGTAAGGCTTGCTTGCAGGCACCTTGAGCGTCCTTTGATGCGGTTTGATTTTTTGTTATTATTAATTTTATACATTTTTCGTTAACATTGATACCAATATGCTAGCTGAAATTGAAAAACATGTATAAACGTAATAAGTTTAAAATTTTAATAAGTAAACGTGATTTTACAAAAATGCTAAAAATAAGTTTAAACTTTCTATAGGATTTAAAAATTGAATCTTTACATTTTTGCGATGATGCTTTGTCTGATGATTTAAATTCTTGTATAATAGATAAATCGGTTCAATTGTTCATCAAACAAACAAAACCTTTTGACAAGAATTTATTACAAAATATATTGCTTACTTTATTTGTTAATTTGAATTTTTATTGGATTTTCTATTCAACCTCCCTTCTCTCTCTATGATATTTTTCCTTTCTGATTGTCATTTTTATTAAATAACCTTTATTATGGATTATAATTGTTCATTTTCTTATAATTCATAATATTGATTTTGTTTTCTTTAAAAGATATGTCCTTACATATATATTGCTGATGCATGTGTATTATAAAATTTGTTTTTTACTGAAAGGGACCTTTGTGTAAGTCTTTTAAATTTAAGATATGTCTGTATATATTTATTGCTGATGCATGTGTATTATAATATGTATTTATTTAGATACATTTGTGTAAGTCGAAACAACTCGTATCCGATTCTATCGTGTATTTCGCAATAGATATGCTTAAACTAGATCTTTACTGGTCCTTTTTTTATCTTGTAATCTTGAATATTAAAGCAGCATCAAGACTCTGTTAATGATCAAAAACTTAAACCATATGTATGTTTTGTATGTTTCTGCTAGTAGTCTTTTGTTCATTTATGTATCATTGTCATTTTGCTTAGTTTCTTTTGTTACCTATTCTGACTTCGGACTCGGACTTCTTTTGAACTGACTTTTACTGTACGTATTGCTATGTGTTTCTTTATTCTACATTGGCTAGAGGTATAGGGGGAGGGCTGAGATCTCACAAAACATGTTTAACCCTGCCGCATTTTTGCGCCTGTCCCAAGTCAGGAGCCTCTGGCCTTTGTTAGTCTTGTATGTTTAGAGTGAGCGACCCATATTCGCCGCATAATTCGTTCATTTCCACTTACTTCCGACCTACATTCGAATATTTGGAACTTTTTATGTAGGTTTCAGATATTTAAATATATGAAAAAAATGTTTGATAAAGGAATTATCTTCAAAACATTGGTTAATTGTTGTAAAAACGAACGCAAACTCAAGAGGAAATCAAGTTGTTCGTGTACCACGGGGGACACATTTTCGCCGAAATGCATGATATGACCATCCTCCTTATCCTGGTATATTATAAAAACGAATGTATGCAATTACATGAATAAGCTTGAGAGATCATTCCTATACGATTTTTCTCACAAATATTTACTTTAAGACTGCGCATTATTGCCATATAAATCTTACATAATTGCCAAAATCGTTTAAAAACACCTGCGTATTTCTTTATATGTGCGAATAACCTTGGAAATGGGGTAAAGAGGAATATCAACAGTTCGAACATTACAAACAGCCTTTACCATTTATTTAGGCAAGTATTAGGTAAAGGCACACAATTTTACAGAAAAATAGCAAAACGGCGAAAATGTGTCCAAGGCGAATATGCGCCACCCACTGATTGTTTTTTTTAATTTTAGTTCATTTATATGTTTTGGAGTTTAGTGTGACGTCCTTTTTCACTGAACTAGTACACAATTTTATTTAGGGGCCAGCTGAGGACCACCTCTGGCAGCGGGATTTTCTCGCTGCGTTGAACACCCATTGGTGGACTTCGGCTGTTGTCTGCTCTTTGGTCGGGTTGTTGTCTCTTTGACATATTCCCCATTTCCATTCTCAATTTTATTTGGCATTATTTATACTTTTAAAACATACCATTGAGGTGTAGTGATATGTGTCTCACCTTGATGTAGTCGCAAAATCGAGACTCAGTCCTGCTGTTTTTAGTGGCAGCAACGACGGCGTCAACAATTTGTTAAAGTTTATGATTATGTCAGTTTAAGGGGAACCACTAATGGTAAGCTAATATTACTAAGTATGGAGTTGTATTAGGATAGGCACGTCTCATTTCTATATAGGTTATTGAACACCTCGCCCCCTCAGTCATTGTCTATTGGCTTTTAAACTTTTGCATGGTTTACATGTGGAAAATATGTGCTTAGGTCAGTTTTAGGGGAAACACTAAAGGCCACACAATGTTATTTAATATACAGTTGGGTATGCATTAGCACATTTCATTTTTGCTTAAATAAGGTTTGCCCTCCCTTTAGTCATGGTCTATTGACTTTGAATCGTTTGCATAGTTTACATGCTAAAATGTATTTTTAGGTCAGTTTTAGGCGAAACACTAAAAGCAAGTCAATAATATTTGGTATGGAGTTGTATTAGCATTAGCATATCTCAGTGTCATCTGTATAAGTTAACCCTGTCCCCTCAGTCATAGTCTATTGACTTTGCAACTTTTGCAAAGTTTTCGTGGTAAAGTGTATGTTTAATTCAGTTTAACATGTTTAAGGAAAACCACCTACTATAAGTAAAAAGTAAATTCACAAAAATACTGAACTCCGAGGAAAATTCAAAACGGAAAGTACCTAATCAAATGGCAAAATCAAATGATAAAACACATCAAACGAATGGACAACAACTGTCATATTCCAGACTTGGTACAGGCATTTTCAAATGTAGAAAATGGTGGATTGAATCTGGTTTTAAAGCGCTAAACATCTCACCTGTATGACAGTCGCATCAAATTCCATTATATTTACAACGATGCGTGACCAAAACAGACATAATAGGTAAAATAGTCACAATATGGGTACAGCAGTCATCACTGTGTCACAATCTCAAAACAAACAAATATTAAACAAAAAAGCACAAAAAAGTAAAATCACAAAAATACTGAACTCCGAGGAAAATTCAAAACGGAAAGTCCCTAATCAAATGGCAAAATCAAATGATAAAACACATCAAACGAATGGACAACAACATCCTTAAGCAGCTATAAAATTTAAAAACCACATTCATTGCTTCGCGTGTCTGACGTCAGAAAACGTAAACGTCACAGGAAGAAATTTTGTCGTTCAAAGTGTTTTAAAAAAAAAAATTATGATTTCACATGGGGAATGGTGGTATACAGGGTTAAAAAAATCAAAAGTTGTGTTAGAACTAATTTCAGAAACAGACACAGATTTAAAATTATCCAGAAGTTCTTTAGAATTTTTAAGAATCCACATAGGGCTAATACCACTACGCGAGTAAAATAATTTTGTCGTTTGTGGTTCAAAGTATTTTCAAATTATAATAGAACAATAACATAATGACATTAAATGATGTTTTGTATTTAGTTATATGAGCATTTGATGTAATTTGATCCTGCAGCTTTAGTCATGGTTCGTTGACATTTTTGTTTTGATATTTTTTCTCATACCATCAAAATCATATACAAGCGAGATATATATATTTCAGACAACCGTTTAACATGCCTTTGAAATTATATTCAAATATTAATATAAATTGTACCATGAACTAGCTTTCGGCAACTGTGAGATCCTTTCCTAGTGCCTTTTGTTTTTTTTTTTCTTTTGTATTAAGAACCAATCAAATGAGTTGGTATCCAACTGATTTCGACAGTTTGTTCTTTAATAGTGTTGGTAAACAACATTCCAAGATAAGGGGAGGGGTAAGGGCTTATAAGCATATTTAACTCCTCCACAAACGTTATGTACATGCTCAAAAGCAAGCAAGGAACCTATAATACAGAGAATGGCGTTGCTAGCAGTCTGTCAAAATTGTTAAAAGTATTATTGTAGTAGAAATCAAGCTGTTGGGTTTCTTTTATTAATTGATTTATATTTTGTCATCCCAGTATGTATTTATCTATTCAACCTTTTTTATGTCTTCAGACATGGATTTGATTTTGATTTTATAATATGGTTTGCTAGTTTGGCTCTACCTGTATTTCAGACGGAATAGAACATCCGATTTTAATTTTTTACGGTGATATTGTATACCGAGCCCGAAAATTTAGAAAGACAAAGTAACATGTGAGACATGTCGACCAATTTGTGAAACAAAGAACGATACCAGACTTTATAATTTTGTACGCCAGACGTTCGTGTACAAAAGACTCATCAGTGATGCTCGAATAAAAAAAGTTAAAAAGCCAAATAAAGTTTGAAGTTAAAAATCATTGATGAACAAACAGATCGAAAAGTTATTCCAAATGCCTGATAGACTGGTAAAACTACTCTAAGGGTTCCAAATGGTTTCGAGTCACTAGACCAAACATGTTAAATGACCACCTAGTTAATCGTCTTATGCCATGGCGTTGTCATCTTGTTTTGATCTGAGAGATTGAATGTCCATTTGGTATTTTCGCCTCTGTTTATGTATGAAGCTGATTGGATTCTCTTATCATAAACATCTCTAGGCTTGCAATATAGACTAACCAAAATGACAGGTTTATGAGAGTGAATACAAAGAAAACCAAAGTAATCATTTTCAACAAGGTGGGAAAACATCTTGTTCATGCCTTTAGATTAGTAAAATTTAGATTTGATTAGATACATAAATAAAATAAGAATAAATCACACTATATAAATATTATATAATTCCTTACATTCGAATACCATGCCAGCATCGTATTTGAACTAAATTTGATCAAATGAAGTAGGAGAAGAATTTTTTTAATCACCAGTAGTAAGCATACAAAAGATAGAAATGACCGATTAAATTTGATCGTAGATAACTGTTATTAATTTTGTTAACAAGTGTGAGGTTGACAGATTAATCTAGCTTATGAATCATGAAGAAATTAATATCGTTGCCTGTCTTGCTCAGCTCATGTAAACTAACTATAATTTGCAGTACTTCAGTTTGTTTTCACAGTTGTAACCAACTTTGTCATAATCAACGTGACTTTATTATATGTATATGTATAATAAAGTAAAATAACAGAAATACCAAACTCCAACTCGGAAATTCCTTTGGCAAAATCAAAAAGCTCAAACATATCAAACGAATGGAAAACAACTGTCATATTCCTGACCTGGTACAGGCATTTCCTTATAAAGCAAATGGTGGATTAAACCTGGTTTTATAGCTAGCTAAACCTCATATTTGTATGACAGTCGCATAAAGTTCCATTATATGACAACAATGTGTGAGCAATTTTTTTTTATTTTGTATTTCTTTGTATTTTATTTAGTCTCTTGTTTTGGTGGATCAGATTCAATCATGATTAGTAAAAAGCAGAATTCTCAAAATATACTGCCGAAATTTTCCTTATTGCTAATTTTCCTTTTTTGAACGGTGATGTTCCTTTGTTACCGTCATACGGTTTTTTTATATCACAACTCGTTCGCTATGCCCGTGTCTGTAGTGACGTTTTGGATTTAAATGAGCGTAATATATGTATTACTGGTAAATTATAAAGTCAGGAATTAATTCACAACAAATTACATAAAACCTTCACCAAATTCGTCCATAGATACAGATTTGGTTTGCAAGTTTGGCTCTACCTGTAGAAAACTGTTTTCAAACGGAATAGAACATCCGATTGTAATTTTTTACGGTGATATTGTATACCGAGCCCGAAAATTTAGAAAAAATCCAGGTGAAATTATCAAGCCTTTAAAAAACTTATTTTAAAATGTTACGAATTCAACACTGCAATTAATT